TACAGAGACAACAATCTATACACAGGACAAATACAGAGACAACAAACTATACACAGGACAAATACAGAGACAACAAACTATACACATGCCACATACACAGACACTGAACAATACACGATATAAACAGGGACAACAAACTATTCACATGACAAAAACAGAGAAAACAAACTATAAACATGACAAATACAGAGACAACAATATATACACATGACAAATACAGAGACAACAAACTGTACACATGACAAATGCAGGTACAACAAACTATACACAGGACAAACACAGAGACAACAATCTATACACAGGACAAATGCAGAGACAACAAACTATACACAGGACATATACAGAGACAACAAAATATAAACATGACAAATACAGAGACAACAAACTGTACACATGACAAATGCAGGTACAACAAACTATACACAGGACAAACACAGAGACAACAATCTATACACATTACAAATACAGAGACAACAATCTAGACACAGGACAAATACAGAGACAATAAACCATACACAGGACAAATACAGAGACACCAAACTATACACAGGACAAATACTGAGACAATAAACTATACACAGGACAAATACAAAGACAACAAATAATACACAGGACAAATACAGAGACAATAAACTATACACAGGACAAATACACAGACAACAAACTATAATACAATATATAAACAGGGACAACAAACTATTCACATGACAAAAATAGAGAAAACAAACTATAAACATGAAAAATACATAGACAACAAACTATACACATGACAAAAACAGAGAAAACAAACTATGAACATGACAAATACAGAGACAACAAACTGTACACATGACAAATGCAGGTACAACAAACTATACACAGGACAAACACAGAGACAACAATCTATACACATGCCACATACAGGTACAACAATCTATACACAGGACAAAAGCAGAGACAACAAACTATACACAGGACAGATACAGAGACAACAAACTATACACATACCACATACACAGACATTGAACAATATACGATATAAACAGGGACAACAAACTATTCACATGACAAAAACAGAGACAACAAACTATGAACATGACAAATACAGAGACAACAATCTATACACATTACAAATACAGAGACAACAATCTATACACAGGACAAATACGGAGACAACAAACTATACACATGCCACATACACAGACATTGAACAATACAATATATAAACAGGGACAACAAACTATACACATGACAATAACAGAGAAAACAAACTATAAACATGACAAATACATAGACAACAAACTATACACATGCCACATACAGGTACAACAATCTATACACAGGACAAATACAGAGACAATAAACTATACACAGGACAAATACAGAGACAACAAACTAGACACAGGACAAATACAGCGACAACAAACTATACACAGGACAAAAAC